TGATTACAGATACCTTAATCCAATCGTTATAAACAGTCCCCACACTTCGGACTGCTCGCCTTTACTACTTCCTTCACCACTTCTTACGTCGTGGACCTGTTTGCCTCCCAGAATTATTAAATCATTTAGAAAATTTGTATAAATAAAATAAAAAATAGGGGTTGAAACTACCCTTAACATAAATCAAAACATTTTTTAATATTTGTACTAATATCATACCATAAGTTTGGTCAAAATCTGTTAAAAAACAACAAAGTTATAAACATTTTAGGTTTAAGGGTAGTTCACCCTAAATGGGTAAAAAATATTAATTTTTAGCCTAATTATACTTGATATTTCAGTTTCAAAATTTTTCATCATTTTTGGAGTTTTTATGAATGAAATAAAAGTTAGGGGTTGAAACTACCCTTAACATAAATCAAAACATTCTTTAATATTCAAAAAGGGTAATTATTAAATTTGGTTCAGATTGGTTAAAAAACACTTAAGTTAGAACACATAACACATTTCAAATAATTTCATTCGATATTGACAATCGAATAGTAAGTTGAAACAGAGCTCACATCTTATATATTAAAAAAATTTGGTTTTTCTTTTCCGAGTTCGTTTGGCTCTTCTACACGACCGATTTTCATGATTGAGGTCTCAAATTGAAGCTATGCACGCACAGATTTGCCATCAAGCATCGGCATATAATTATCTATAGTATCACTCGGTTTATACGTAAACGAAATTTGCTCCCCATGTATTTCTTATGGGAGTTAAATTTGGTTTTCTTTGCCGAGTTCGTTTGGCTCTTCTACCCGACCGATTAACATGATTGAGGTCTCAAATTGAAGGTATGCACGGACAGATTTGCCATCAAGCATCGGCATGTATTTATCTATAATCCCACTCAGGTTATGCGTAAGCGAAATTTGCTCCCCGTGTATTTCTTATGGGAGTTAAATTTGGGTTTTCTTTGCCGAGTTCGTTTGGCTCTTCTACCCGACCGATTTTCATGATTGAGGTCTCAAATTGAAGCTATGCACGCACAGATTTGCCATCAAGCATCGGCATATAATTATCTATAGTATCACTCGGTTTATACGTAAACGAAATTTGCTCCCCATGTATTTCTTATGGGAGTTAAATTTGGTTTTTCTTTGCCGAGTTCGTTTGGCTCTTCTACCCGACCGATTAACATGATTGAGGTCTCAAATTGAAGGTATGCACGGACAGATTTGCCATCAAGCATCGGCATGTATTTATCTATAATCCCACTCAGGTTATGCGTAAACGAAATTTGCTCTCCATGTATTTCTTATGGGAGTTAAATTTGGTTTTTCTTTGCCGAGTTCGTTTGGCTCTTCTACCCGACCGATTAACATGATTGAGGTCTCAAATTGAAGGTATGCACGCACAGATTTGCCATCAAGCATCGGCATGTATTTATCTATAATCCCACTCAGGTTATGCGTAAGCGAAATTTGCTCCCCGTGTATTTCTTATGGGAGTTAAATTTGGTTTTTCTTTGCCGAGTTCGTTTGGCTCTTCTGCCCGACCGATTTTCAATATTGAGGTCTCAAATTGAAGGTATGCACGCACAGATTTGCCATCAAGCATCGGCATAAATTTATCTATGATCCCACTCTGCTTATATTTAAACAAAACTTGCTCCCTATATATTTCTTATGGGAGTTAAATTTGTTTTTATTTGCCGAGTTCGTTTGGCTCTCCTACCCAACCGATTAACATGATTGAGGTCTCAAATTGAAGGTATGCACGCACAGATTTGCCATCAAGCATCGGCATGTATTTATCTATAATCCCACTCATGTTATGCGTAAACGAAATTTGCTCTCCATGTATTTCTTATGGGAGTTAAATTTGGTTTTTCTTTGCCGAGTTCGTTTGGCTCTCCTACCCAACCGATTTTCATGATTGAGGTCTCAAATTGAAGGTATGCAAGCAATGATTTGCCATCAAGCATTGGTATGTATTTATCTATAATCCCACTCGGCGTATACGTAAACGAAATCACTCCCCATGTATTTCTTATGAGAGTTAAATTTGGTTTCTCTTTTCCGAGTTCGTTTGGCTCTTCTACCTGACCTATTTTCATGATTTAGGTCACAAATTGATGCCATGCACGCAAATATTTCACATCAAGCATCGGCATATATTTACCTACTGTATTACTCGACTAAAAAACATAATTTGATTATTTTCGAATTCTTACATCAATTTAATATGTATTTTACCAGTTATAATTAAATAATACTATATATTTTGGTCTAAAAACTTTCAGTGAAATATCGTCTTTTATTTAAGTGATTAAGATACTGTATTATTCAATCACAAATTATAAATTTGATTATTTCTCGCATATGATATTATCTAACAAAAAACCACTAAGTGGTAACACTTTCCCCGCCAAGTCAGCAATCCAAAAAAGATAATAAATCATTACTTTTTCCGCCAAGAAAAACAATGTAATGTATGTAAGTTTGGCAACTTGCCGGCAGACTTTTGCTCGATCACTTTAAAAATACCATAAAACTAGTTTTATATTAATTAGTACTTTAGAAGAAACCAACCCAGTATAAGCCTAGAATCTTTTCATCCACTTTGGAACCCCCACCATTTTGAAAATTTACCATTGTTAACTTACCCTGTAGCTAATTCAACCAATAACTTATCTTATATTTGTATTTCATTAATAAATTTTATATTGTAACTTACCAAATCTATTTATTCTTAAAATAATTCATAATTATAAGATTAAGACAAAAACTTACCTTATTAGACAGAAATAAAACACAAATTAGGAATTATCTTTATTAAGAAAGAAATGACTTTGAGTTCAATGTGGGCTAATTTAATAGCCATAGGAATTTTGTAGGCCTAAGTTAATGAAAAGTCTATAGAAAGCTTTATGGTGCGTAGCACATACAAGCAAACATTGATCATATTAGAGCATAGGATAACAATTATTTAGTATTTACTGGGTTCTAATCAACATTTACTTACGAGTGGTAGATTTTCTAATTTTCTAATGTTGTGATTTTAGGCAAAATGCTAGAGTACATTTTTGTTTTGAGAAGCTTATTTAGTAATATTACTTTACAGTTCTTATAAAGGGTTTCACAAAGCTGAGTAAAGTGAATGAGGTTTCTCTAGTGAAAATTATGTTATGATGAAAACAAAAGAACGAAGCGAGAAAAATGAGAAAATACTCGTAGAAATCAGGTGTCCGAAAAATTATTCCGTCAATCTAAAATTGGCTAAATACACATTTCAATATATATTGTTTTCTTTGTTATGTGATTGTATTTTTTTAGATGTTAACACATTTTATATCTAGGCCTTATCATTAAAATGTGCAAATATGCATCATCATAAGTCATCTCGCTATAAGCTTCATCATAGCTATCGCTTCTTTTATGACACACTAGCTGTACCTGCGGGCTTTGCCCCGTTTAACTTCATATGTGAGCTCGTTCGCATGGCTCAATCACGTCCTGGTTGAAGTTCGTTCGCTACGCTCACTCACCTTTAGGTTGGAGCTCGTTCGCTGCGCTCACACGTCCTGGTTGAAGTTCGTTCGCTACGCTCACTCACCTTTACGGTTGGAGCTCGTTCGCTGCGCTCACTTGCCTTCAGGTTTGCTCGTTCGCTACGCTAACTCGCCTCCGGGTTGAAGTTCGTTCGCTACGCTCACTCACTTTTGGTTTAAAATTAGCTGTTGTAAAATATTAAAAAAAATAATAGTGCTGCACTCTGTTGGTAATCCTTGTAACTTTAATGCTATTGAACATCATAGAACAGAACCAACTTGTTTAATTGAAACAGCTGTTAAGATTCATTAATTCCATTTAAATATGAGTACTCATTGGGTTAACATGGGAAACTCCAGAGCCACTGGGGCGGAGCCCGAGAGTCCGATCAGAATAAAAACCACTTAGTTTTCCTATTTAATGCCTAAAGAATCAGTCTACCAAATTTCAGCCTCCTAGGTACAGTTGGGCCAAAGTTTCTGTGCGCGTGGCCAGAACTGGTCGGGGATAGGCGAGGGAGGTGGCGGGGGTACTTTTGTGAAAACATTCGTCACTCGCTGCTCAGCATGATTCACTCGCGCCAACCCCCAGCAACAGCAATGCCAGAACGTTCACCCGTGACTCACGCAAGTAGAATGACATTCCAAGTAAAAATTACTGAACCCTTAGAATACACTAATGCTGATCTTATAACGTCAGTCTGCATTGAGCTGTCGTTATTGACTGACGGGTTAAACAACAGCGCTTTTTATTGTTTATTCCAAGTTTTTGCCGTGGTTAAGTTTTTAACAGTTAAGTATCAGTTTATTTATATATTGTGCTATGTGGTTATGATAATTTCAAGTAGAAATGGAAAATATAGGCCTACGATCTACGCTAAAAGGAAAAGTTATTCATAGCCAGGGCAGAGAAATTATCGCCAACGTGTATAATTTTATGAAGGAGGAAGCTCAAAATAAAGAGGTAACCATACCTTTAGTGAAAGCTCGTGAAAGAACCGCTGCGGCTGTAGGTGTGTCTGAAAGGTTAGTTACAAAAATTAACAGTGATTTGAAAAAAATAAGAGATGACGAAGACTGTGAATTGAGGCAATTTACTACGCCCGGAAAAAAACGTTGCAATTTCCCTAGGCGCATCACAGGACTCGACGAGTTTGATAAATGTGTTGTCAGGCGGATCATATATGATTTTCATATTCAAAAAAAGTGTTTCCCTACAGTAAAATTACTTCTAGTTGAACTGAGAGACAGAATCAATTTTCAAGGACAGAAATCTAGTTTGAAAAATATATTAAGAGACTTGGGTTTCAGATGGAGAAAAACTAAAAACAACAGGAAACTTTTGATTGAAACACAGGATATTAGGGAGAAGAGAATATCATATTTAAGATCAGTGAGGCGTTTCAGGAACGAAGGAAGGCCTATTGTCTATTTAGACGAATCTTACATACATTCCACACACATGAACAGTAAATCGTGGGCTGATGAATCCAACAATGGTTTACGGGTTCCCATCTCTAAAGGTGATAGACTAATTATTATACACGCTGGTGGTGAAATGGGGTTTATCCCAAATGCGTTGAAGACATGGAAAGCATCAAAACATACGGGGGACTACCACGACAATGTGAATCAGGAAATGTTTATGAAGTGGATGACGGAGAAACTTCTTCCAAATTTAGAGCCAAGAAGTGTTTTAGTGGTTGACAATGCTCCATACCACAACGTTCAAGTTGAAAAGGCCCCGACAGCGAAAAGTAGAAAGCAGGACATGAAAGATTGGCTATCCAACCATAACATCCCATTTAACGATAACATGTTCGTCCCAGAACTATATCAACTGATTAAGCTGTATAAACCAAGACTACTCCGCTATCTTCTGGATGAAACAGTGAAGAGAGAAGGTCACTCAGTGCTAAGACTCCCCCCTTATCACCCAGACTTAAACCCAATTGAGCTGGTATGGGCAGACATTAAGGGTTTTGTAGCAAGTAGAAATGTTTCCTGCAACTTTTCTCAAGTGCAAAAAATAACTGAAGACAAGATAGCGAGTATGGGTCGAGATGATTGGACAAGGAAGTGTGAGCGAGTTAAAACAATTGAAAATGAATACTTGACAAACGAAGGGGGAATCGACGATTTCATAGATTCGTTCGTTATCAATCTTGAGGACGACTCCGACACTGAAGACACGGACGAGGACGACCCAGAGGAAATGAGTGGCGTAGAAGAACTCGAATGAAAGTCCAGCATAAAATTCAAATATGCAAGTAAGTAGATTATTTTTTTTTAAGCTTATTAACAACAGGGTGTAACATTTTATTCTACAACATAATGCTAAAATGATTGTGAAGACCGCATGATAAATATAACTAGTGCACCTGTTGCTCGAATTCGAGCAATCGTAAATTATTACAGGTGTTATATATATTTTAAAACAAATAACAGTCACAATTAAGTCACAGTTAATTACGTGAATTGGTGGAAGGGGTGTTTGTAAAGATCCGTCCATTATTAACGGAGGAGTAGTGTTTCGTAGAAATCGCCTTCACGTATTATATATAAGGATTGTCGCATGATGAATAAATAAACAGTTGACATTTTATATGACATGTGCATTGATTTGTGTAATTGTCACAAATTTAGCAAATACCGAGTGACAAAATTAGATGATGAAAGAAGTTGTGAGACACGTTATTTACCGTTTTTAATGGTCCTTTCTTTATAATAAAACTGAATTGTACAAAATTTTATTATCATGATCGTAATTATTTGTTATTTAAATAATTTTTTCCTTGCAGAGGGAACACAATGAACCATTTTGAGAGGGGTGATCAAGAACGCTTCAGAAGAAAGTTTCCCGCGGAAAGCTTTATAGCGAAGAAACATATTGTCTTGTATTTTTTTTAATTGCTTTTTTAACATATTGTATAGTTTTATATTAAATTGGTAAAAAACGCGGCATTAGAAAGTTTAATGTCATAGAAAAAAATTGTTTGGCATTTCTTTTGTATTTTTTGTGTGTATACATTGTACAGTTTTATAATAAGTTTAAGAAAGTTTAATGTCATAGAAAAAATTGTTTTGCATTTCTTTTGTATTTTTTGTGTGTATACATTGTACAGTTTTATAATAAGTTTAAGAAAGTTTAATGTCATAGAAAAAAATTGTTTTGCATTTCTTTTGTATTTTTTGTGTGTATACATTGTACAGTTTTATAATAAGTTTAAGAAAGTTTAATGTCATAGAAAAAAATGTTTTGCATTTCTTTTGTATTTTTTGTGTGTATACATTGTACAGTTTTATAATAAGTTTAAGAAAGTTTAATGTCATAGAAAAAAATTGTTTTGCATTTCTTTTGTATTTTTTGTGTGTATACATTGTACAGTTTTATAATAAGTTTAAGAAAGTTTAATGTCATAGAAAAAATTGTTTTGCATTTCTTTTGTATTTTTTGTGTGTATACATTGTACAGTTTTATAATAAAGTGCGTATCGAAAGTGTTCTCCGATTTTATTATTTTATTTAAGGTGATATAGTTCGATGCAAGCTTATTGTTATAAAATATAACAATAACGAATATTTTCATTATGCTAGTATTTTTTCTAATATAAAAGGAGTTGGGTAAGATTGCAAATAATTGATTCATTAGCTTTCATGTTCACACCTTTAAACGTAATTTTTTTCTATGAAGAAATTTAGTACAAAGATCGCATATACGCTTTCTACAAGGCAGAGGGCAGGAGGCTATGTTTTCAGGACGGCTAGTAGCAGACCGTCCACGCGCACAGAAGTTTTGGCCGAGCTGTAAGTGGGAAGTGGGAGAATTAGTGATGAGTGAGTGAGTGAGTGAGTCAGTCAGTCAGTCAGTGAGGGCTTTGCCTTATATATATATAGATTTTACAATTCTCAAATGAAATGGCTATAATAAAGGGGCAGACAAAACTTGAGCTAAGTTAGAAATAATGTAATCATCAGATGTATTACCAAAAGAATAGAAGCCGTATTATTTTAAGGCAATTTCTGATCTTCAAAACTGCAGATAAATTCAGTTTGTATGTAACCAGGAATGATTTACAAACGGCAATATATTACAGCAGCTGGACGTATCTTATATTCAGCAATATCTCATTGTTGCGCCTCGCTGTTATTATATTTTGAACATCTGATCGAATGTTGTCGTAAAATGTGTCCCTTCTACGGTAGATCAATCCCCAGTCTGGCTGAATTAAATTTTAATTCGGGGCCAATGTTTTAATTACTGATAGAACTCAATCATATTTCGATAACTTAAATGTAATGAATAGAGAAAACAAACCAAATAGATACATTTTTATAAGACCAATCACATATTAAGCAAATTTACTAAACAATAAACAAGCTTATCTACATTAACCCCGTTATACCATGGACTTGTAGTTTCATTCCATACTTCCTGCAAGCACGTTTGAACTATATTTACACGTTTCTGATAGTTTTAGGCAATTATGTCGATAAAATATCTTATGTTGGATGTACTTGCTTAATACATATAATAATTTTATTCAGACACCATTAGAAAGCACACTTAATCTCTGAAGGTAAATTTGGTTTATAAAGGTTCTTGGTCGTGTGGATGCTCTAAGCTGCTTTACTAGAATAAGGTTCCATAACACTTCCACCATGCATAACACTATTTTTACTTCTCTAGCTAAATAAGGATCAGCTTATTGGGATTAACATAAACAAATATTAATTAATATAACATTATGTTTATTATTTTGCAAAATTTGTGTTTAAAAGTAACATTTATATCTATTACTAGCTGGCCCGACAGACGTCGTCTTGTCCTAATGTAAGCAATGGTCTCTAATGTAGTTTTATGTCAAATGCTCGTTCATTTTCAAGATGAGCTCAATCACGTCCTGGATGAAGTTCGTTCGCTACGCTCACTCACCTTTAGGTTGGAGCTCGTTCGCTGCGCTCACTTGCCTTCAGGTTAGCTCGTTCGCTACGCTAACTCACCTCCAGGTTGAAGTTCGTTCGCTACGCTCACTCACCTTTTGGTTGAAAATTAGCTGTTGTCATAAATAAAAATAAAATAATAATGCTGCACCCTGTTGGTAAACCTATTAAATTTTTAATGCTATTGATCAATCATAGAATCAAATTCTTTAGTTGAACCAGCTGTTAAGATTCTTTAATTCCATTTAAATATTAGTACTCATAAGGTTAACATGGGATACTCCAGAGCCACTGGGGCAGAGCCCTTTTGTCGGATCTGCACCAAACTTCACACAAACCATCCTTGAATAATGGTTAATAATACCTGAAAGTTTCATTACAATCTTTCGAGCGGTTTCGGAGTCCATAAAGGACAAACAAACAAACAAACATACATACATACATACAAACAAACATACATTGGATTTTATATATATAGATACAAAGCCCCTAAGGAAACCATCTTCTAGCAATAAAACATGAAACGCATAATGTTGAATAACTTCGACTGCAGATCAATACTGCAATCCGTCCACAGAATCTATTGGAATTTAATTTTGCCATGTGATTCTTTTACAACAGCATTGCTGAGCCCAATAAGAAATTCAGATTACATGTTTAGTAATTACAATGTTGTTTGAAAAATCTATACTACTTCTAATTTTTCATTATATCTTTTAACTTGTTTCATTACAATTTTATATTTCCCCCATTTGCGTGTATTTTAAAATGGTGATTGTGTTGCGTATACATATTTTAAGGGTAGTACCTAGGGATGAGTGCTGCTCGGAGAAAATCATTAGTGTACCTTGAGAGTTAAATATAAAAATTTAAAAAAAAGTTAAAAAAGAAAAGTTAAATTTAATTCCAAGACTTAAAGTTTCCTACTAATAACAGAAAGCAGTATTTGGTCTCATAAAGGACATATGCTACGTCCTTTCTACAAACAAAGCGCACAATATAGTGCACAATGTAGTGGGTTTAAATTCGTGTTAAAATCACTGTAATTATGGTTTTCATTTACAAGATGTGTTGCAAAATTGGACATAAGATGATTACTTTCTTTAAGCAAATATTCTTTGATCCTCGGTTGAAATTTCTTCCCTAGAAGCCAAAAACACCATCCGTTCAAATTCATATATATATATATATATATATATTATTATTATTATTATTATTATTATTATTATTATTCTTATTATATATATATACTAGCTGACCCGGCGAACTTCGTATCGCCTAAGTTATAGGTTTCCCCTAAGACAAACCGATGGAAAAAAAGTACCGTTACGTTTAATTTTCAAGATGATCTCGTTCGCATCGCTCAATCACGTCCTGGTTGAAGTTCGTTTGCTACGCTCACTCACCTTTGGGTTGGAGCTCGTTCGCTGCGCTCACTTGCCTTTAGGTTGGAGCTCGTTCGCTACGCTAACTCGCCTCCAGGTTAGCTCGTTCGCTACGCTCACTCGCCTCCAGGTTGAAGTTCGTTCGCTACGCTCACTCACCTTTTGGTTGCAAATTAGCTGTTGTCATAAATGTAAAAGAAATAATAGTGCTGCACCCTGTTGGTAATCCTTGTAACTTTAATGCTATTGAACATCATAGAACAGAACCAACTTGTTTAATTGAAACAGCTGTTAAGGTTCATTAATTCCATTTCTCATAAGGTTAACATGGGAAACTCCAGAGCCACTGGGGCGGAGCCCTTTTAAGAATTTCGAAACGGGAAATAGTTTACGTCCGATTCGCATACCTACAGAATTTACACACCAAATTTCATAACGATCGGTGAAGTCGTTCCGGAGGAGTTTGCAGACAAACACTGTGACACGAGAATTTTATATATTAGATATATATATATATGTGTGTGTGGGTGTGTGTGTGTGTGTGTGTGTGTGTGTGTGTGTGTGTGTGTGTGTGTGTGTGTGTGTGTGTGTCCGCTAGCACGATAACTCGTGCAAAAATGATCCGATTTTGATGAAATTTGGTGCAAACTAGTAAACCTACATTTATTCGAACGAGTTTGTGAATGTATTTTTCCTATTTTTGACCCTAAAAACAAAAATCTTCTTAACTTCTCCCCAAACCATAATCAAAACCAAATAATAATAATCAAAACCAAATAGTTTTGTATGTTGAAGCGTTGTTGGATGCCCAACGGTAACGGAGATTAAAATAAAATTGTAAATGTAAAATTCCCATGTTATTCTTATGGAGAGTAAATAAGCTGTTCTAGTTTGCTTGTTTAAGGATATGTTT